GCTCCCATTTTCCTCATCAGCCTCTGGCCTAATCAATACATCCAAATCAGAGGAGATGATGATGATGATGATGCTATGATGGGAGCCGTCAGAACCCATGAATCCCATATTGATCTGATGTGTTTCGTGTTCTGCTAACCTCAAGTGACCTGATGACATGTGTGTGTGTGTGTCCCGTCACGTCCAGCCTCTCCACAGTGAGGACGCAGCGATGCCCCACCACAGGGAGGAGGACCCGTCTCCGTCCCGTCGCCTCGGCCTGGCTCCCTGCCGCCTCCACGCACCGAAGCCCGGCCACGACTTCCCATGAGGCCTCCACCAGAACTCAGCTCGACCGCTCTGTATGGGGCCTCTCACTTATGAAGTATGTTGTGGAGTGTGTGGTTCCCCCGACCTGGGGTCACAGCAGATGTGAGAGGTCATGACACATTTGCCATATATGATATTATACCAGTGTGATATAGGGTCGTGTGTTCTGTCCAGTTCTTTACTAAGAAGGTATCACACAGTTCGATGTCCAACAGCTTGTCCATGAACAGAGCGGTTTGGTCGTGCACCTCCTTCATGGAGAGCTTGCACGTTTCTGCAGAAACAGCTGTAAATCTTTATCATCTGAATAAAATGATTTCAGCACATGAACATGTTCAGTTTTCTACAGTTTTCTATGAGTTAAAATTGTGTGTTTCTGGGTTTTAGGTTTTTTGAATGGTTAAAGGAAAAAGCAAGGCCGACTTATTATGTGAATTCTACTATTGATCTTTTCTATCTCAAACATTTAGGTAATTTAAATGGTTTGTGTTTAAATCTGATACAGAATCAGTTCAGGGTTCCTCACATGAAAATAAAAAGCAGTGTCAGAACAGATCCTGCTTTGATAAATATTCTTCACATGATCACGTTTGTCCTCCTCTTCCCTGCAGTTGACATGGAGGATGAAGATGGGACTTGTCTACTTGATGTTTTGTGGTGAGTTTGAAATAAAAACATTGTTCTTCAGATAATTAACTCGAAGTAAAATACATTGAAGGGAAGACGTTTGTTGAAATTGTGGTTTTTTCTCATTTCACCAAATATTCACTGAATCATTTCCCTCCTCTCCTCGTCTCCTCAGTGACCCCCAAGCCCTGAACGACTTCCTTCATGGGACCAATGAGGTAACAGACGTCCTCCCGAGACTCAGAAGTTGATAGAAAACATTTGACTTGAGAATATTTCTTGGCACATGTTGTGGGAGATGTGGAGGACAGACAGTTGTAATGTAACGCTGCATTCATGAAGTGTAGACTGTTCGAGCCCAACCCAAAATCGTGTGATTTCATCCCACCAGCTGCCGACGGAGGACCTGCTCATTAACTCCTCCTCTGGGGAGCCCTCCCTCTTCACAGATGCCCCGGTGAGTGTCTGGATCCGCCGCCAGCCCCGTCACAACACCCAACACGTTCCCCCCACGAGGATTCCTTTTTCTCTCTGTCTGTGCCTAAAGCTGCTTCCTGTTAACTTCTGCTAATCACACAATTGTCCCCTGCTTTTCGCTCCGCACCTCTCGTCCTGTCTCCCACTGTCTCTCTCCCCCAGAGCCCCGTCTCTCTGCTGGGAGATGGCAGGGATTCCCCAGACACGCCTCCCCCCGGGTGTGTGGATCTGTCCTTCCTGGAGGAGGCTCTCCTGTCATCGCCGGAGGGTGAAGACCTGCAGGTGGTGCAGGGTGGGCAGCCTGTGGAGGGTGGATGTGAGGCGAAGAAGGGAGAAGTGCCGGAGGTGGAGGAGGCGGAGGTGGCGTGTGACATCCTGCAGCAGAGTCTGCAGGAGGCCGACATCACTGAGCAGACCATGGCTCTGGAGGCAGGTCTGGCCCATACTGGGGACAGTCTCTCCCTCTACTCACCCGCCCCTCTCCTCTCTCCTCCCACCGCACCATTCCTACCCAAGTCTGTGACGTTGTCTGTCACGCCGGCGTTGCCCAGAGACACCCAGGCAGCAGTGGAGCCTCCCCAGCCCTCGCTCCTGGCTGTCGGACCCGGCTGCCCCTCTCTAAAACCTGCTGCACCGCCTCAGCTGATGGGGCTCCTGCCTGGAAACGTGTTCCCTGCTCCTTCTCCAGAGACCTCCTTCTCTCTGAGTCCCGCCCAGGGCTCCAGTATGATCATCCACAAGGCTGTTCCCAGTGTGACCGGTCGTCCTCTCATCACTCCATCCCTGAGAGCCACAGCGGCAGCACCAGGGATTGTGCTGCAGAGGGCCCCTCTCCCCATCCAACCCAAGCTCCCCATCAGCATTCAGCCCAGACTGGTTCAAATAAGCCCCAAGCCCTCTGGGCAGAAACCCACACCAGGTCTTACATTCGTCCCTGGGACTGCCTCACCAAATATTTTACTGTCCCAGACTCCAGTCCAAAAGCCCACAGCTCCACAGTCGCAGCCCAACCAGCAGCTCCCCAAACCAGTCAGCCTGCAGTTAGTCAACCAGGGCGGCTCCTTCGTGCTCCAGCCTCAGGGACTCTTCCAAGGCCAAAACCAGTTCCTTCTTCCGGGCCAGTCCCCCGTCACAATCTCCCAGCCCGCCAGTGCGGCTCGACCACTGCTGACTCCCAGTCACCAAGGCCCATCGGTCCACAGCGTGACGCCGTCCACCGGGCAGCTTGTGGACGGCTCTCAGATCCTAACTGTCCCCCAGAGACAGTTGAACTTCAGCCCCGTCTTCACCACCCCCACAGGGCAGCTCGCGCTCCGCCAGGCCACTGTGCTTTCAGGACCCTTGCATCTACAGTCAGCACCCCCCACTGTCTTCCAGATGCCGGCACAGCTGGCTGGAACGTACACTGCAGGAGGGCAGGGGCGGCGCGCCACCCTGGTCCACAGTCCCGCTCTTGGAAACCACATAACCTTGATCAACAGTTCAGGGGTGCTTCCCCCGGATCTCACTTCCATCTCAATCGTCAACGGGCCCTCGGTGGTTCAGGGGCTGCCTTTCGCTGCCCAGGCCCCGGCTCCTCAGGCGGGAGTGACAGAGGGACAGCTGAGCCTCCAGCAGGCGTCTGTGGTGCTGCTGCCAGAGAGAGCTGTTCAAGAGGAGAGGAGCAGCTCAGAGGAGACTTTCCACCAACTGCCGCAGGTGAGTTTCCACCTCTGCATCGAGAGAAAATCCTCTATAGTGAAAATGTTGAATTCGAAAATGGTCCCAGACTTCCCTCTCCGCATGTCCTGCAAGACTGAACCCTGACGTGCCCTCAAGCACTTTGAGTTGTCGTCAAAACTAGAAGAACTGCGATAGACCTTTTCAAAATAGATAAATATGCTGATGTAAATGTCTATTTCTTGTAAATGCAGTGAATGAAATAACTGACACATAGAAGCTTCATCAGATTTATGCAGAAATCCTCTAAATCCAGTGCTGCTCATTGATTTGCCTCCAATAACAACAACTACAGCCGTGAACAGTAAACGACTCTTTTAGATTTGAAAGCAGATTCACACCAGGATAGATTCTCTGTGTGAACATCGATTGAAACGACTGCAGTGGTTTCTGTAAATGAATTTTTCAAATCAACTGTGGCCTGAATTTCACCACACTGGTCTGTTTCATCTTGTGGAGCAGTGCGGAGCCTGATTTGTGTGTGTTTCTCCCTCTGCAGCCGTACGGACACGTGCTCCAGCACATCTCCGTGCAGCCCCCCTCTGCAGGGCTGCAGGCCTCCTCTCCTCCCGTCGTCACCGTCCTGCAGCCTCCTCCCGAACCACCTCTGGCCCCCAATCCAGCTGCAGAGATGCCCAAACTATTGATGCCTCCGGCCGACATGACCCAAGTGGTGGAGGAGGTGGCCCAGTCCATGAGTCAGAACCAGGCCTTTATGCAACATCTGCAACAGGTCAGAGATTCAGCAAGTTCTTGTCTAGTTTTATGTAAAGTTAAAATACCTGTGGCAGTTTACAGTATGTGTTCTCAGGTTCACTAGCGGTTCACTGACTGTTGGTGGAATTCTATCCCATTTATGTCCTTCGCCAAAGTTAAACGAAATCAAGTGTTTCATTATTTGCTGTAACAGACACCCCGGAGTTCATTCTGTAGTGAGATCATTATTTTTACATTGTTAAATGGGACCCAATGCATTCTGGGATTCTTTCAAACACAGAGTCTATTTGAAATGACTTGTTTGTCACCAGGTGAAAGTTTAGACTCATTTTCTTTTCATCTCCACCACAGCAAGCACTTAACTCTCCCATCGCCTCTGATTTGCTGGTTGGAGCGCTGCCAGTGGTGCCAATGGAGACTCTCGCCTCCCCCGTGGCCAACGAGAGAGAGACCCAACCTCAGACCCGCTCAGTCCCAGATCAGGACCCCCACAACGTGACGTCTGACCAGCGTGTGGAGGCTTCTCCGCTCAGCTCAGATCCTGACGACACGCCGCTGCTCTGCTCCTCCCCTCCTCTCCTCCCTCAGGACACAGGGAGAACAGCTCCGGCAGCTTTCTCCCCTCCAGCTGGAGCTCAGATTCCTCCGCCTGCACCTGAGAGGTCGGCTCCGCAGCCCCTCACAGAGCCCCAAGCCCAGTACCAGGCCCAGCATCAGCTCCAGGTCTCACAGGCCTTATTCGGCCAGAACCAGGTGCAGATCCAGTCGTCGGTTCCCCAGCCTCGGTCCTCGAGTCACACTCCAGTGCACAGCAGCTCTTCCTCCCCCCCTCTGCTGGTCAGCGTCCCGGTGCCTCAGCAGCAGCCTGATCCCGCAGCTGCTCGTCTCTCCAAAGGAGGAGACGACTCCGCTGTCCAACAGCACAACACACAAAACAGTGAGTTTCATCATAAAAGCAGCATCTGAAACCGATTTTCTGTGTGAATCTTACTATTATCATTTTCCTTCCTCATCCTCATCACTGCCACTTTATCAGAGCCAACAGCTGCCTTGGCCGTGGAGAGTAAAGCTTTTACTCTCGATGTCCATCCACACTCTCCCACAGCCCAGGATGTTCACGGGCCCCCAGCTCCCAGAGAGTGTGGCCCCGTCCAGGAGACCCAGCAGACAGGCACCAAGGTGGGAAATCATTTGACTCAGGTCGAGTTCATTAAAGAAATACAGTCACTTTTCTCTGAATTTAAATTTCAAGGATGGAAGAGACTCATGTGAATCCAACAAATTTTTTATCCGATTGCAATTTGAATCACAGAAATACAGAATCCAAAACCACAGACGACTTCAAACCAGCGAATATTCACATTTTAGAAGCTGAAGCCTGATTTAAATTAAAAAAAAAAGATAAATATTTAAAAAGTCTCATTACTGACTGAGTTTAAGCTTTAATGATATTAAATCTCTTGTGTTTTCTGTTTTACACTGAGAATCTAACTATTTAAGATTCTAGATCAAATCTTCTCTGGGTTGAGCTGAATCTGCTTCAGCGCAGAGAGAAATCACTCTGGAATTATTGACTGTTAAACGCAGCACATTTATTATTGATGACTTGAAAATGTTTGCCTGTCTGCGTCTTGTGATCTGATCTGAAATGTGATGTGTGTGCCAGCTGGCAGTTTGTCTGGAGCAGCAGAGAGAGGACAGGATCACACCAGCAATACGCAGGCACAGGTAGGAGATGAAAGTCACCGTGAGATCCGTCCGTCCGTCCGTCTGTTATCTATCCTGTTTATTCTGTGACGGTCGCAGGGGGAGCTGGAGACAATCCAGACCTCCGTGATATAAAACTTCACAGAGGTTCAGAGCAAAATACCTCTCAAACCCAAAATATTAGTTTTTTCCCGCCATGAATTTTAAATAGATGTCATGGAATAATTAACTGAAAATATGATAAGAAATATAAAGTATGAGAATCAATGGCAGCTTTTTGTTGTTGTTGTACGTACGTCTGATCACATTTGAAGCCACCGTTCAAGTATTTAAAGAAACAAACTCACATAATATACAAATAATAATAATGATGTAAACTAAGGTGCCAAAAAAAGTGTGAGACCATCCTGTTGATTTCCCGGGTGTGGTCCCCGGCTCAGTCTGTGTTCTCCCTGCGTCCTTCAGGTTCCAGCAGCAGCTTTGTTTGGACCACGCAGCTGTTCAGCACCCGTTCACCGGCCCGGCCTTTTCCACGCTGAAGGACGCCGTCAGACGCCTGCTGCCGTACCACACGTGTGCCGGTCACCTGCCGACGCAGAGTGACTTCAGTTTAGGTCAGTGAGCTGGAGATGTGGACACGAGTCGGACAAACACAGTAGGATCGAAATGAGCCGCGCAAATTAGAATGAATTCCTCCTCCTCTGCTCTGTTTACACCCTCGTAGATATCAGTTCTGTAATTATGTTTATTAAGCGCCTCACAACGTTAAAGAAAGTGATAAAGAACGTCTGGATCCACACCAGAATGTAATGGTCCCTTCTTGGCCCACGTCCCGTCCTTCCAGGAGGATCCAGAGTTCAGTGCATGTCTGAAAATCAGCTTCCAAGAACTCCTATTGGTTTAAGATGGCCGGGGTTACAGACTTAAATCAAAGGCCATGACAGGAATGTTTTCAGTCTCACTGGGGTTCGATCATATAATTAACGTGATCAATCTTAACGATCGATGATGGTTTCTCTCTCCTCAGTGGACCAGGAGTTTGACTCTGTGTCCGGTTTCCTGCTGAAACGCACCAAGGACATGATCAACAAATACAGGCAGCTACTGGTCAGAGAAACTCAGGTGAGACACGTCGTTCACCCTCGTCTACACGATCTGTGTCCACAATCAGTCCCAGGCCAACAGATCTAAAGTTTCTCCACATTATCTGGAACAAAACACAATGAAGATGTGATTATTTTTTACCTTCATGTGTGACTGGAGTCGTCTGCTCCAGATGTTTGTGTGATGGGGTTTGACTTGTCCTCCACAGCAGGAGAGTCCCTCAGCAGAGATGGTGATGCTGGAGCGACTCTTCCTTCAGGCCGAGCGGTTCGCTTTGGCCGAGGACAGACGCAGAGCTCGCAGAGACCCAGGTCAGTGTCCCAGCAGGACATCAGTCACCACCTCCTACTGCATTACTGCTGCACTGTCTGTTCTCAATAAGAGAGATGCTCGTCTCAAATCCCAGGCCTGAGACTCTGGACGGGGGGGGGGGGAGTGAATTAGTGACACTCTCTCTTTTTTTCTCACAAACTAATTTCGCGGCGCCTCTGAGCGCAACACTTAACCTCCATATTTGCTCCAGAGCAGCTCCCAGGTGTGAAGGTGTAATTAAGCTGCGTAAATGTGGAGCGAGGTCGTGCCGAGAGAGAAAAATGAGATGTGAGAGGTTAAGAGCTGATTAAAGCAGAGCTGTTAATGTTAATTAAAGTTAGAGGAGGGGGGGGGGGTGCTCTTGAACACGGTTAAATGTGCTGCTGCTGGACTCTGGGACATATGAATAATAATAATAATAATGATGATGGGAAACACTGGAATAAATATTTGTCGCTTATTAAACTAAATTTACTTTTAAGCAGTTTCCACATCAAGTGAAAACTATTCTATTAATTTTCTTCAAAAGCTTTTTTCACATTTTCTGTCACACGTTTTAAACATTTCTCTCTAATTAAACCCACAAATCTGATATATCTGGAAAGTTCAACTAAAATGTTAAGTGTAGTTTGAACCAAAATAAGAATCAAACAAACAAAGTTACAAAGTTCTTCACAATAAAAGCATATTAATGTAAAACCTTTAAAAAAACAAAAGTCAAGAAAATGTATAAAACAACTCAAACAAGCAAAACACTGGTTAAGAAAAGAAATGAGGTGATTATTTAGTTTTTTAAGTTATGAGCTTTCATTTTAAATCAAGCTCTGTCATCTGCATAAAAAATCTATTTTAATGGTTAAATAATGAAAGAACTTTTGTAAAAGTGAAAACATGAGAAACTGAAAACCAAAGTTATCTTTAGAATAATCAAACCTGAGTCATGATGTCGACATGAAGCTGTTAAACCACTGACTTCACTTGTTTCCTCCAGAGTCGTTCATGATGGCCTTGACTACACCAGCGTCTTCCCCTCATGACGCCCCTTCCTCCGGCCCCTCCCACCCGTACTCCTCCGGCAGCCCCTCCTCTCCACCGGCCTGGACCAGACTCTCTGACCGGCCCCCGGGACTGAAGACGTACCGCTCCAGCTCCCGCGGCGCTCTCAGACTCACCATCAAGCAGGAGTCCGGCTCCCGCAAGGTGGTCCACAACTCGGCCTGCGACCCTGGACACAAGAGGGACCACACGGGGCAGCTGACCAATGGAGGTGGAGTTGTGAACGAACGCCACTCTCAGGCGACCAATGGAGCACCCCACCGTCCTCAGCATGAGGGGGATTTGTCCAACGGAGCCCTGCAGAGCGACACTGCAGAGGACGTCCCACAGACTGCACCCAATTCCAAAACAAAAGCCCCAAATCCTCTTTCTATGCCAGAGCCACGGGCTGCTTGCTTCGAGTTGCCTCCCAGAGATGTCAGCGCCCCAAAACTGAAATGTTCCAGGCTGGACGTGTCACCTCGGCCGGAGCCGCGGCTGAGTCCGCCCCCTCCGCCGCTCCAAGAGGACAACATGCTCAGCGAACATCTGCAGAGTGCCATCGACAGCATCCTGGAGCTGCAGCGCCTGCAGGGCCCCTCTGCAGCCCCGACCAGGGCCACGTCAGGGCCGCCACTGGACCAAGCTGTCACCAGCATCCTGGAGGGACACCTGTGAGGTAACGTGTCCTGACAAACGTCCAGAAACATCTGTCTGAGGTGGGACGGAACAAAGGGAAGTGCACTCGTCTGTTCCCAGATCTAGAGGTTTTGATTCTGGGTTTTCAGATTTTACTTTAAAAAGGAACTGATTGTTTTAAAGAAGCGGGAGGAGGAAAAAAAATAAAGAGGCACTATGAAGAGATGCAGACAGCAGCACTATCTACAGTCTGATAGATGTTAGATACTTCATTTTGATGTATGTTTGTGGAAAAAAATCTATTTGAATAGGAGCTATATTGTTTCAGTGGTAGTTAAGTCATTCAGAGGTTTACGACACTGGTGTAACCTTCATCAGCATATAGTATATAAGTAATAGTGAGGCTAACGACAACGTGGAGTAGACTGAGATTATTCAATAGTTTTTTATAAGATTTCTTTCAGAAAAATGTGGTTTGTTTTGCATAGTGCCAAGCTTCCAGGGTATTTATTTTGATAATCTGTGCCAACTGTGTTTTCAGATGAGTTGCATTGAGAGAAAGCCAGTGTGTGTGTGTGTGTGTGAGAGAGACGAGTGTGTGTGTGTGTGTGTGTGTGTGTGTCCACATTTGGAAATAATTTGCGTGGATCTAAAGAGAGAGTGTGAGAAACATTGCATCCTGCGACGGGACGGTACACGAATGTCCCGCAGGCTCCATCGTCTCGGCTAAACGAATGAAACTCCAAAGAATTTGTGACATTGCTACATCCTGAATACACCAGCAAACGTCCATGTTGTGTCTCTTCCCACAAACTGGAGTGTGTCTTTGTCAGAGCAGAAAGAACCCGAGGGAGCACAGGAAAAAAAAAAAAAAAAAAGAGAACGAGTTAGGCAGTCGTTATTTCTTTCTTTTCTTTCTGACCCTAGCCGTCGCTCAGGCTGGAGTCTGACTGTGAAATAGTTTTGTGTGTTTTTCAGAGACGAGAGTCGTCTCCCATACTGTGTGTATTTACATGCAAGCAATAATGAGTTGGGGTTGTTTGGAGCAGGGGTGGTGCAGTGAAGAGGAGGAAGAAGAGGAGGAAGAAGAGGAGGAGGAGGAGTTGGGAGATCTTTGCCTGTTTTGCTTATCGTCGTCATAGGACAAAATTTAAAAAAAAAGAGGAATGAATGATGCTGATTTTGTCATCGGAGCCCGTGTAGTTTAGTTTCTGACTTGTTTTAAGGGCTCGATGTTCACTTAGCGGTGTAATGACCATTAAACAAAACGTCCAGTTCGTGAGAGAAAAGCTGTTTTTCCTCGACACTGTACAGAACCTGAGCCTCTGCATCATCAAACAGCCTTTGACCAAAAAACTAGAGGAATCATCCGCTTTCACTTTCCCACATTTCCAGGTGGACTTCTCTTTATTTCACGAGTTATTGGTCTGTAGCCCGCCGATCGAAGCCGAAGATTAACGTTCTCGCAGCCGTTCTGGAGCAATATGTATGATTTCGTTTGTTTGTTATTTAATGTGACAATCTTATTGGTCTGAGTGAAAATGTGAATTCTGTTCATGTGAAATTCGTAGGAGAGAGCTGAGGTCATTTGTAGGTTGAAATTTCAAATCTGCAAAACGTGTTTAACTTTTGTAAAACAAGTTGAACTTCAGAGTTTCAGCTCTGAGAGATTCCACGAGGGGGGGGGTCGAGGTTCGACTCGCAATTGGGAAAAAAAACGTTATGAATATGCCTTTAATTCATTCTTCCCTTTAAGTAAAATGGAATCTGCAAAGAAGAGATAAATGAAGCGAGTTTTTCAAACCTGTTACATCTGGTGTTCAGAAAAGTGAAAGTCACCTGTCGCTCCAGAAAAGAAAAGAAACAGACGTGGGATGGAATCAAACAGGACTTGTCATTTCTTCAAATGTTATGTTTTTATATGTAAAGTCGTCTTTTGTTGGAACAAACAAAAGGAGTTATAATATGCAGTAATTTAGTATTGAAACTCTCTGCAGCAGTTCGGGTGCAAACACACTCGAGGATTCACGGGATGTTTTTGGAGAAATGCAGTTAAAGGAGATTTACATCACTAATGTCTGCGTGGCGAACCCGGTGCAAAGCTACAGTTAGCTTAGCTTAGCATGAGAACTGTAAAACACTTAAAGATGGACGACATGACAGCTTCCCCAAAAATGAAGCCAAATCATCTTAACCACCCCCTGGTGGCTGACTGCAGTATAGGATGTAAAAACCCTGCCTCCTCTGTGGAAGTGGACGGAGAAGTCAAAGTGCACAAAGGTGGTTTCTGTTATTTTAGATAATTTGCTGTTGAAGCATCATGACTGGCAGCTGACACAGAAGTGGAGCTGCTCCGTCCATCTGTGTTTTCAGCGTATAGATTTTACCCAGTGACGGAAACAGCCTGGCTCCGTCCAGCATCACCAAAGCTCCAAAGCTCAACAAATAAAACCTTCAAAAATCCTCATCGCTGCACGACAACGACTTTGTCTTGGCGATGAGAGAGTTTCCTTTCTGCCTCAAGTGGTTGAAACATCTCAAAAAACCATCTGTTGCCCTGGTTTTAGAACCAAACAGTCAAATTATGACCTCTGGGTGAAACCAGACGAGCTGTTTCCTCTGTTTCCTGTCTCTACGCGCAGTGAACCAGCTGCTGGCTGTAGCGTCACCTTCACCGTTCAGACATTAGCATTGATTTTCTCTTCCACGTCTCAGTGAGGACTCGCATTAGCACATTTCCCAGTTTGTCCAGAAATGTGAAGATCTAAATGAAATCTCGACGTGTGTTTCCGCCCTCAGAGGTTTCGCTGTAATGCAGTAAAGATGTCAGAGTGTCTCTCACAACACAGGATTGCACTCCTCGTCACCGCTGAAGAAAAAAAACAAAAAAGAACCAACAAGGGGAATTCCACAAACTTTACTTGTCTTTATTTTTTAAGCAGCACTTCCAAAGGTTTGCCAAAAAACATTCTTGTCTAATGATTCAAGAAGACTGAAAAAAAACAAAAGAAAGAAAAGAAAAATAAATTCTCAAGCGAACTTTGATGGAATCCCCTTCTCTGAAGAAGCCTCATGTGCCATTGTTATTGTCGTGTTCATGTCCGCAGTGTCAAACACTGACCATTAGGAACATGCTTCTGTCAGCATCGTGGAACTAAGGGAAGAATTCCATCTGCATGTTGAGCCACTTTGTTATTTATTTATTTGTAAATGTGTTTTTATTTTTCTGACTGAACTGTGAAACCAGGGGAGCTCATAACTCTTACACCGATTCAACGAATTCAACTTCAGATACAAAACATTTGACTGACAGATTGTTCTGATGCCAAAATCAAGAGGCCTTAATTCAGCAAAACTAGATTGTAAAAAGTCATTCCTGACAAAAAAA